TTTTCTTGGATTTTCTGTTTGCACTTAGTCACATAGTCACTTTAAGATCTTAATTTTGGAGCTTTCGTGACTGCAGGAATTATTCTTTGGTTCTTTCGGTTAAGTCACGTCTAAAGATAAAATAATAATGCTATTATTTAATTTATTATTTTATCTTTAGACGTGACTTAACCGAAAGAACCAAAGAATCACTTTAATATGTTTTTGTTCATGTTTTTGTTTTTTGTTTGTTGCGGTTGCACCCGATTCTAGAGCCGAATGGCTCACAGGGCTATACCTAATAAATGAACTTGAACGCCCCGTCGCCTTTGTCTCCCCACTGGAGATGTTCAATACCCACCGCATCGGGTACTCATTTAAGGCTGAGATGTCCCACGCGAAGGCCCGCGATTGATTCAGGCATTTTGCCAACCAAAGTTGGCCGTGAGCGCGAATCGATCTCGAGTCGCCGAATTCGTACCGCACGAACCTCGGGACAGTCCGGGAATCGAACTTAGGAGGGCAGGTTAGTAGTGAGAGCGTGGGTGGCCAGCGCCACGCCCGACCGCCTTTGTCTCCCCAGTGTCGATGTTTTACACACCTCACCAGGTACTCACTTGAGGACTAGTCGACCCGGCTCCAGTAGAGGGCAGGTGAGACGCACACAACAACGACACCAGCTGTACTGCCCCACACTGTGCCAACTCGCTGTGTTTTAGCCGCCCAAGCGCTCCGCTCGTTGTTGTGAGCGTCGCTCCTCTGCCCACCGCTGTTGCTGGAAGGCGACTGCCTCTAACTGCCCAGTAGCGTCCTTCACGAGCCTCCTCCTCCACAGAGGCCGATCTTGACACCGCTGGTACCGCTCATCGGCAAGTCCGCTCAGCTCCACGTCCTCCCGTACCACATCACTCCATCTCTTCTCTAGCCCGTGTGGCACCCGTTTATCCCCCTCGATCCGGCCAAACAGAAGCTGCTTGGGCATGCGGTGGCTGGGCATGCGGGCGATGTAACACAGCCAACACAGCCTCGCTTGCCGGAGGAGCTCACCCATGATGGAGAGTGTGTAAACGATTGTAGGCATGCCAGCCTAAATGTTTCACACGTTTCGCAATCATAGCGAATGGAGGGCATAACACACACACGCACAAAGACAAAGATCACCCATATCGCCGTAACAGGCCGTTGGGGCGAGTGCTTGTCACGAATATCACATAATGAAGGACCGGTACACGAGGGGGTGGGTGGCCAGCACCATCCACGTTTACACGCACAAAGACAAAGATCCCCCGCGTAGCCTGAACAGGCCTTTGGGGCAAGTGCTGTTAGCGAGTAGCCACCTAACGAAGGCCGGCACGGCGCACGGGATGTGCGGACGATCGAAAAGGCGTTCCGAAAAACGAGGACATTTCTGAAAATTCTGGAAGATTCGAGCCGCAGGCGACGGGAGATTCCACGGATAATGAGGTTCGTTTGCATTTATTTTTCGCGGATAAAGGGGAGTTTTCGCGGATGCCATGCTTGCAGATGAGATGCTGTGTCAAGTACAGCCACAGCGAGACAGGTCAGATGAGCGTGTAAAGTCAAGCCGTGATCAACGCGGTCACCGCTGAACCATCTTGCGTACGATGCCCATCAGATAATCCAGACGCGACGCGAGGTTGATCCCCCGGCCATCACTTGGACGGGATGATAGAGCGGACTGAGATGAAAAAAATTATAACGGCGGATTCCTGAATCTATCCGTGTGGATCTTTGGGAGAGTCATGCTCTCTCCCCCCACCCCCCACCACCACCACCCTCTCTCGAGACTCGGCAGCGATGCTCGCGTGGCTCAACGTCGCTGCTATTAAAGGTGAATGGTTGTGGAATGGTGACGACCGCTAGTGCACCGCGGACAAATCGTCGGCAACGTCTCTCGTGGAAGGCCCTTCGAGGCCAATTCGTGACGGGCTTTCTCACGTAGAAGGGAAATAATACAATAATATAAATATAAAACAATAAAAAAATTCTCACGACGTTTCGACTGCAACACAAGCAATCATCATCAGGTGTATTTCCCTTCGACGTGACTTTACCGAAAGAACCAAACATATGAATCCCTGCAGTCACGAAAGCTTTAAATCAAAATTTGCTTGTTGTTGTGTTTAGTTTGCCGTCACCCCCCCCCATCTCCCCCGTTACCATCCGATCAACACGTACGGCGCGAAAGAAGTTCAACATACACACGCGAAACGCGCGCGCATGGAAACAAACGTGCTCGTAATTCACTGCCGAGCGACGCTGATTCGGTCTGCCAAAAGGGAGAATGTCTCGCGAAAGGTAGTCTCACGCGGTCAAATAGAGGGCATTGATTTATCGACTTTATTCTGAGAGTGCACTCAACTCAGTGCCACCGCACATACACACACACACGCACACTGGAGACCACCACATGGACATCGGAGTTGGCTACACCGATACCGGCCAGCAAACGCTGCCAGCATCAGTCACGCGTAAGTGATGCCACTGCCACTGATTGTTATTGTTACGATCGGTGGCTTCATCGTTCAAATTCTTCGGGACGTGTTGGGTTCGCCGTTTGCATGGGTATGCCACCAGCACGGCACGGCATCGTCCCTAAGCTGTGCTGAGGTCGGTGGCTGTATGGGCATGCTGATATGAGCTACCCGTCGGAGGCCGTCGGACTGCAAGAAGGGCTGCGTGCAGAACGAGAGAGAGCGAGTGAGTGAGAGAGTGAGAGTGAGCGAGAGAGTGAGCGAGAGAGTGACCGAGAGAGTGACCGAGAGAGTGACCGAGAGAGTGAGCGAGAGAGTGAGCGAGAGGGTGAGCGAGAGGGTGAGCGAGAGAGAGAGAGCGAGAGAGTGAGCGAGAGGGTGACCGAGAGAGAGCGAGAGAGTGAGCGAGAGAGTGAGCGAGAGAGTGACCGAGAGAGTGACCGAGAGAGTGAGCGAGAAAATGACCGAGAGAGTGACCGAGAGAGTGAGCGAGAAAGTGACCGAAAGAGTGACCGAGAGAATGACCGAGAGGGTGAGCGAGAGGGTGAGCGAGAGAGTGAGCGAGAGGGTGAGCGAGAGAGTGAGCGAGAGAGTGAGCGAGAAAATGACCGAGAGAGTGACCGAGAGAGTGAGCGAGAAAGTGACCGAAAGAGTGACCGAGAGAATGACCGAGAGGGTGAGCGAGAGGGTGAGCGAGAGAGTGAGCGAGAGGGTGAGCGAGAGAGTGAGCGAGAGAGTGAGCGAGAAAGTGAGCGAGAGAGTGAGCGAGAGGGTGAGCGAGAGAGTGACCGAGAGAGTGACCGAGAGGGTGAGCGAGAGGGTGAGCGAGAGAGTGAGCGAGAGAGTGAGCGAAAGAGTGAGCGAGAGAGTGAGCGAGAGAGTGACCGAGAGAGTGACCGAGAGGGTGAGCGAGAGAGTGAGCGAGAGAGTGAGCGAGAGAGTGAGCGAAAGAGTGAGCGAGAGAGTGAGCGAGAGAGTGACCGAGAGAGTGACCGAGAAAGATGAACGAAGCAAAGTGCCGAATACACCGAGCATCTTCTCGTTTCCACTGATCGTAAAAAAAAAACGCAGTCAGTTTGCGGCGAGGGTGCACGTCAAAGGCAAAGATCCCCCGTGTAGCCTGCACAGAGTGCTGGGGCAAGTGCCGCTAGCAAGGGGCGTGGTGCTGGCCATCATCTCATCCAAGTGATGGCCGCGCCTCAACCTCGAGTAGCGTCTGAAGATCTGATGGATATCGCACCCAAGCTGGTTCAGCTGTGACCGCATTGAAGGGCCTTGCACGAGAAGCGTTGGCGACGATTTGGCTGCGGTGTTAATCGCAGCCGAGGTTTAGCCAGGCGAGCATCGCTGCCGAGACTCGAGACCTTTACCAGAGAGAGAGAGGGTAGAGGGGGGTGGGCAAGCATGACTGTCCCAAATATCCACACGGATAGATTCAGGAATCCGCCGCGATAACTTTCATCTCTCAGCCACGGCAGTAATCCCGTCCAAGTGACGGCCGCGGCTCAACCTTGAGTAGCGTTTTGAAGATCTGATTGGTATCGCACGCAAGCCGGTTGAGTAGTGATCGCATTGATCACGGCTTGACTTTACACACTCGTCCCGCCTGGCTCGACAAAGCATCTTATCTGCAAGAATGCTATCCGCGAAAACTCCCTTATCATCAGCGAAAAATAATAATTACAAACGGACCTCGTTATCCGTGGAATCTCAGATCACCCGCGGTTTCAATCTTCCGTGGCCCGCGATCATTTTCAGAGACGTCCTCGTTTCTCGGAACGCCTTTCGATGATCCGCACATTGATGCCATCTCGCTAACAGCACTTGCCCCAACAGTCGTTGGAGCCTATACGGGGGGGAACCTACGCCTTTTTGTTGTTGGTGATGATGGTGGTGGTGGTGATGATGATGACATTACGCGAAGCAGCACACCAATGGCCATGTAAACGGCAGCATGTTCGCGCTCACGTATGTTGCATGCGTGTTGAACTTCTTTCGCACCGTACGCCGCGCACCGAGCTAATCGGAGGTGCGGGGGAAGGGCAGCAAACTAGACCGGACGGGGCGGCTGGTTGGGTGGAGGAGAAGGGGGTGAATCACACACGGTGTCAACATCGAGGATTGCTCGCAGACTCAGACCACTTGATACAGCTATCGTGCTGTGACGGTTCCACCTGAAGACGGAAGCTTGTATTGCCTCCGAAACGTCGTGATTTCTATTAAATTTTTATCTTACTTTTATTAATTTCAATTTTTTACCTACGTGACTTTACCGACAAAAAAAAACTACGAATATGAATCCTTGCGGTCACGAAAGCTTCAAATCTAGAATTAGACCATAGATCTTAGAGGTCATCATTCAGCTTCGTCAGCACCGCGGACAGTGGCTGGTGCGGCTGGAGATTTAAACGAAGGTCAGCTTGGGATGTACTCATGTACGACGGGAGGAGAGGGGGGGGTGCAGGGGGGTGCAGGGGGGGGGGGGCGAGGGTATAGGGGGGGGGTCACCGGTCACTCACGACTTACCCGACTATTCACGCTTCATCCCACGAGTCTTCGTTGCAGTCGACTTTTTGCATTTATTATTAAGCAAAGGCTTCGGTTTTAAATCTCCCGTCCCGGTCACGACCAGCCTCCACGCTCGGCAACCAGCAAGGTCACTCGGTCACTCGCTCGGTCATCGGCGGCTCTCACATCTCGGCTCGATCGACTCCCAGAATTGAAAATTCGCAGCGCGGGCCGAAGCTCCCATCAAACCAAACCCTGCCCCCCCCCCTCCCCCCGCGTTCTTCCTCTCGTCTCGTCTCTCTCTCTGCCCCTCGCCTCGCCTCGCTCGCTCTGTCGGTAGCCACACAGGGAGCCGGTAAAGCCACCGCGGTATAAACCACTCAGCCGCTCGTCTCCAACCAAACCTCCCCCACACAGTGACCCCTGGCCTCCTCGTCACAGCCAGCCGGCCAGGATCACTGCGTGACCGTGGCAGCAGCAGCGGTGGTGGCTGTTGCCTTGGACTGATGGAACCGGTGGCTGCTGCTGCTGCTGCTTCTGCTGCTGCTGCTGCTGCTGCTTCTGCTGCTTCTGCTGCTGCTGCTTCTGCTGCTGCTGCTTCTGCTGCTGCTGCTTCTGCTGCTGCTTCTGGACTGCCACGCGCTGATGCACGCAATGCCACATCACTCCTTAACGAACGGCGCTACGGTGGTGGTGGTGGTTGTTGTTGTTGTTGGTGGTGGTGGTGTTGGTAGCGGCATCCGTCCACCGTCCGGAAGAGGAGAAGGACGTGGAGGTGGTGGTTGGTTGGTGGTTGTGGTGGTGGTTGGTTGATGGTGGTGGTGGAGCGAGAAGAGACCGCGTAGCCAATGCTGGGAGCTCGAGCCGTGCGCTGCTGTGAATGTGCGTGTCGTGTGTGTGATGCTCGTACAGCCGGGGAGAGAGCGAGAGGGGGGTGGGGGAGATGCTGGGTGGATGGGTGGGGGAAGTGTTTGCCTGAGCGCGTGTGTGTGAATGTGTGTGTCGTGTGTGTGTGAATGTGTGTGTGTGTGTCGTGTGTGTGTGTGAATGGGGAGCGGTGGTGCAGCGGTTAGCGCGCTACGCTCCCACTGCCGCACATTGCCGACACCAACACCGAGTGACGATTACTTGGACCGGTCCTGCGGCCTTCCCTAGGTCGACTCGGCCTCAAATGAGTACCTGGTGCGGTGGGTAAAAAAAAAACATCGCCACTGGGGAGACAAATGCGGCTTGGTGTGGATGGTGCTGGCCACCACACCCGCATCGCGCGCCATGCCGGACTTCATAGGTGCTACTCGTCGAACAGCACTTGCCCCGGCAGTCTGTCACGGGCTATACACGGCGAGAGGGAATCTTTGTCTTTGTCTGTGTGAATGGGAGGGAATGTGTGGTGGTGGTGGGGGGGGTGACTGCTGAGGAAGGAGGAGGAGGGGTGGAGGGGAGAAGGGGAAGGAGGCGGGGGATTGTGGTTGAGAGGGGCTTGGGGGGGGGGTGCATTGGGAGGAGTTCTGGGTACCGTTAAACGCCCCGCTGAAGAAAGCCAGATGTCAGCTGTAATCAGTTTCATTGGGGGGCCGCTGCCACTGGAGTGTGTATAGACACACACACGCGTACACACACACGTACACACACACGTACACACACACACGCGCGCACACACACGTACACACACACACACGCACATACACACACACGCACATACACACACACACGCGCACATACACACACACACGCGCGCACACACACGCGCACACACACGCACATACACACACGTGCACACACACACGCGCACACACACACGCGCACACACACGCGTACGTACACACACACGCACACACACGCACATGCAGACACGTACACACACACGCACACACACACGCGCACACACACGTACACAGACGCACACACACATACAGACACGTACACACAAGAACACACACACGCACATGCAGAGACGTACACACACGTACACACACGTACACAAAGATCCCCCGTATAGCCTTCACAGACTGTAGGGGCAAGTGCTGTTAGCGAGCACCTATGAAGGCCAGAACGGTACACGAGGGGGTGGGTGGCTAGCACCACGCCCGACCGCCTTTGTCTCCCTAGCGGCGATGTTTACACACCGCACCAGGTACTCATTTGAGGCAGAGTCGACCTAGGGGAGGCCCAGGACCGGTTCAGATAATCGTCACTGGTGTTGGCCGTGAGCGGGAATCGACCCCGGGGCGCCAGGTTCGTAGTGCAGCGCGCTAACCGCTACACTACCACTCCCCACACACACACACACGCACACACACGTACACACACACGCGCACACACACACACGCACACACGTACACACACACGTACACACACACGCACACACACACGTACAAAGACGTACACACACACGTACACACACACGTACACACACACGCACATAGAGACACGTACACACACATACAGACACGTACACACACACACACACGTACACACATACAGACACGTACACACACACGCACACACACACGTACACACACACGCACATGCAGACACGTACACACACACGCACGCACATCCCAATACATACACGCACCCGCATCCCAATACAAAAAAAGACAAAGATTCCCCGTGTAGCTTTAACTGATTGTTGTGGCAAGTGCTGTTAGCGGGTACCTATAGAAGCCGGCACGGCACACGAGGGGGTGGGTGGCCAGCACCACGCCCGACCGCCTTTGTCTCCCCAGTGGCGATGTTTTTTGCACCGCAACAGATACTCACTTGAGGCTGAGTCGACCTAGGGGAGGCACGAGACCGGTTCAGATAATCGTCACCGGTATTGGCCATGAGCAAGAATCGAACTCGGGTCGCCGGGTTCGTAGCGCGGCGCGCTAACCACTACACCACCGCTCCCCTCCAGCACCACGCACAACACACACACTCACATCCCAACACAAATGCCAACACACACACCCTCACGCTAGACACACACAGGCACACGTGTGTGTGTGTAGAGAGAGAGAGTGTATGTGCCAAGTGCTGCTGTATAGGAGGTGCTCGCTAACAGCACTTGCCCCTACAGTCTGTTAAGGCTATACGGGGGATCTTTGTCTTTGCCAGAACCAGTCAGCCAGGCAACTCCACTATCCGCCCTCGCCCCCCGCAATTGAAATTCCTCGTGGGTGTACTGCGTTCCACGGGATAACACTGGTCAACACACTTTGTCTGGCATAAGGTACCCAACGGTTTTAAGATAATTTTGGGGTGCCGATTCCAAATCTGGCATCAGTTTTTGTCTATCACATCAGGTTTTTGAGATATCAAATATTGCATTTCAATAAAAACTGCAGAAGAAAAATATTAAATAAATGTGGATATCTACGTAAAATGATATTATAAACACACTATCCTAAAAACACAGCACCGTATTTTAACACTAAAGCAGCCACCGACTCGCAACAACCTGCAATCATAAGTGACAGAGTTAATTTCGGGTAAAAGCAATGAAATGGGGTATGCCGATAGCATAAAAATGAGATGTGATAGAGCAAATCTGAGATCAGATTTGGAATCAGCACCCTGACATTAGTCTAAAACAGCTGCAAAAGTCCAGGCCAGAAAAACATGTTTTTTTTTGTTGACCAGTGATATCAGAGCATGTTTTTGTCTGCATGTTGTACACATGTACGTGTGGTTATTGCCGTAGCCATTGAGTCAACATGGGGGGGGGGGGGGGAAATCTTCCAGGGTGTCTGGGAGTCACCCCCCCCCCAAAAAAAATCTAAATTTGAAAACTAATTTCCTGCCATTTCCTGCCTAAAATATAAAAAAATTCACTAGCACATGGGATGGACTTTTTATTTCTTTTTGACAATAATGTCTAATAGTGTATTGTATTACATTGCTCTGTTTTATTTATAAATTTTTACCTTTTCTTGTTTCATTGTATGTAATGACAGAGATTAGGGATTAAGAAAGTACAACTATAACCACAATCATATAAACAGAAATCTATGCATTGTTATATGAAGACAAGTCCAGATATTGTGGCCAAAGTTTAGCAAATTGTTGTTTTTATTTAAATAGCATAGCAATTTTTTTATATATTTTTATAGCAATATATTGGGGGGGGGGGAGGGGGGGACATTTTGAGCATATTTGAATATGGGGGGGGGGGGGGGGGGGGGTGGGGTGTCCAGGCCAAAAGTCTAGGCCAAAAAAAATGTTTTTTTGTGTGTTGACCAGTGTAATTGCGTGGGCATCTCTGTTGGCTTCGGTACGCGCGGTTCTGCCGTCGATGTGAATGTCGCGGTCCTGCGAGGCGAGGCGAGCGGGGATTCTTCGGTTAAAAATAAATAAAATAAACTCACGAGACCTGCGTTTCGTCTCACTGCTGTCCAAAGATAAAGATCCCCCGGATAGCCTCAACAGACTGTTGGCACAAGTGCTGCTGTATAGCGAGCAGCACCTATGAAACGTAAAAAATGGCTCAACAGACCTGCGTTTTGTCTCACTGCGGTCCAAAGATAAAGATTCCCCGTATAGCCTCAACAGGCTTTTGGGGCAAGTGCAGCACCACGTCCGGTAGACCACCTTTGTCTCCCCACAGCTGATTTGTACACACTGCGCCAGGTACTCACACAAGGGGCTCACACACACACGGGACACACACACACACACGAGGCTCTCTCTCACACACACACGAGACACACACACACACACGGGGCACACACACACACGAGACACACACACGAGACACACACACACACACGGGACACACACACACACCCACACACGGGACCCACACACACACCCACACACACACGGGACCCACACACACACACACACCCACACACATACAGGACTCACACACACACACATAGGACTCACACCCACACACACACAGGACACACACACACACGGGACCCACACACACACGGGACCCACACACACACCCACACACGGGACTCACACACACACACGGGACACACACACACACGGGACCCAAACACACACACACACATGACTCACACACAGGACACACACACACACACATGACTCACACACACACAGGACACACACACTCACGGGACACACACACACACGGGACCCAAACACACACACACACATGACTCACACACACACACAGGACACACACACACACACATTACTCACACACACACAGGACACACACACACCCACACACACACAGGACTCACACACACACTCACACACACCCACAGGACTCACACACACCCACACACACACCCACATACACCCACATACACACACACCCACACACACCCCCACACACACCCACAGGACTCACACACACCCACACACACACCCCCACACCCACGGGATACACACACACCCACACACACACACGGGACCCACACACCCACCCACACGCGCGCGGGGATGTGCGTGTGCGCGCACTCTGAGCTCTGCATGAACAGCTCCCAATTTAGGTAAAGAAGTGCGGTGGGAGTGGTGGCCACACGGGAAGAATGGGGAGGGTGGGGGGGTGGGGGGTGGGGGGGGGTGGGGGGGGTGAGAGCCCCACCACTCAACTCCCACGCACGGAGACTCCTCGCAGCTCACACCAGGCACGCGCGACTTGTCTGCCCCACGTGACCTGAAAGAGCCCCCCCCCCCCCACGTAACGTTGAAGAACCCCCCCTTACGTGACGTTAAAGAGCCCCCCCCCGTGTGTATGTGTGTTCGTGTACACCCGCAAATCGCTCAATTGGAATCACACACAGAGCAGCAGTAGCAGCAGCAGCAAGGTAGCAGTGGCAGCAGTAATAGCAGCGGTACCAGCAGTAGAGCAGCAGTAGCAGCAGTAGTAATAGCAGCAGTAGCAGTAGTAATAGCA